CAACATGTAGATTTAATCCACATTATATTTTTTTGATATCAGAGTGAATTCCTAAAAAGAATCGCCCATCCTAATAAAGTATGTATTTTCTTATCTTAAAAATCGCCGATATTTCTATTTGTAACCTTAACTGTGCTGCGTAAGCAATAAACATTCCAAATTTCAGCTCAAACAAAATAGTCTATGTCCTTGCACTTTTGAGGAAAATCACAAATACGCTCATCGTTTAAGCGATATTCTCTACATTCATTGTCCCTATGCAGCTCCATTGCTATTAGATAGATTCACGTTCTATACACATTGTATTGAATACATTATTTTTTTTTAGTTTTAATGATAGTTTAAAAATAAGCAATGATATCATATTCATTTAAGCATTGTTGTAATTATTAAACCAGTGAATCTAGTCCTCTTGATCGCATGTGCTGCGTCATGTCAAGGCTGATGACGTCATATTTAACGAAATACTTTCTTCTATAACTCGACTGTATTGCTATCAAGTATTGCAATTTTACAAGATTTTAAAAATCATCGCTAAAATAAATAAATTCAAATTGTAATTTATGCATGATCATGTCGTTAATTAAATTTTGTGGTTTGTTAAAATTCAATGACGTCACAATTAAACTTCCAATAGTTTACTTTAGTTAATATAGTTATAACTTTGACACTTTGAAAAATTTGATTCACTGTAGTGATAACTTTGACACTTTCAAAAAACTTTATCGAAAACTTTGACACTTTGAAAAACTTTGACGAAAACTTTGATACTTTGATAAACTTTGGCAGAACTTTGACACTTAAAAACTTTGGCGATAACTTTGACACTTTGAAAAACTTTGGCGATAACTTTGACACTTTGAATGGAAAACTTTGACACTTTGAAAAACTTTGACGAGAACTTTGACACTTTGAAAAACTATGGAGAAAACTTTGACACTTTCAAAAACTTTATTGAAAACTTTGATACTTTGAAAAACTTTTGCGAAAACTTTGACACTTTGAAAAACTTTGGCGAAAACTTGGATACTTTGAAAAATTTATCAAAAACTTGGACACATTGAAAAACTTTATCCAAAACTTGGACACTTTGAAAAACTTTATCGAAAACTTTGACACTTTTAAAAAGTTTATCGAAAACCTCGACATTTTGAAAAAGTTTATCGAAAACTTTGACGCTTTGAAAAACTTTGGCGAAAACTAAGACACTTTGAAAAACTTTGGCAAAAAATTGACACTTTGATTTACTATAGTTAACTATAGTAAACTTTAGTTAACTATAGTTTTTTTTCGTTAAGTTGCGAAATAAAATTTTTATCGGGAAGGCTGAACTTTTATGAAACAATATGTAATTCCACAAGTCATTGAACTACCTTGACAAAAACTTACATTTTGAAATAATGTCTCGTATATTCATAAGCAAACCCGAATCCGTTTCTTATTCGAAACTGGTCAAATAACTGTATGTGTAGCCTAATGATGTACTACTTTTACCAAAAAGAATGTTATTTGGAAGATATAGAACTTTACCTTGGGTAAGGGTACTACCATGTTTACATCCAATTCTCATTTAAAATTTGGCCTGGCCCCACTCTTTCAAATCCTCGAAAAATGTGAGCGCAAGGACGTACATTTTTCTTCTTTGACTGGTCACTGTATTTTATCAAAATCTACTTATTTGTGAAAGGAGAAAATTGTTATGTTTAAAATATTGTAAAATCTAACTGAGGCCACGCCGATGAAAATTTTATTCGTCCAACCCGCACGCTCGTATTTAGACAAAAGTACATGTAAATAAATATTATCAATTTCAATTTTCCGCATCATGGAATTTTTTTTTGCTATATTTTGTTCTATTTCCGCTTTATTTTTCGTATCTTAAATTGATGTACTTTGCAAATCAAAAAAAAATATAATTGTCAGCTTAAATTTTTTCGCGCTCCGCCAAAAAAAAATGCCTACAAAAAAAATAATAACATCATTATTAGCTTACCCCTTTTTTGTAAAGATATACATGATAAATACAAATTGTACATTGGAGCCTAGATTTACCCTCCGACCCCACACACTTTCAACTAGCACAGCCGCACATTTCCTAGTGTAGTCAAAGAAGGAACTGGTAGGGTTTTGAGAAAAAGGTCTCTTTTTTTGCTTACCAATTTTTTTATCGTATAATTTTATAGGGAGGGGGGAGGTCCATTTTTACTTGGTTAAGTATAAAATATATTACACACACATTTAATAAATTTGCAAATTCCAGGGGTGGTGGTGGGTTAGTCTGGACCCCCGACCCCCTTCAAGATTCATGCATGTATGTGCACTTATTCTTTATTTGGATACTAATATTGAAACTATTCAGAAGGCGTCGTATTTATTCACTCATGCTTGAAAACTATCAAAATCGTAGATTAAATATAATTCGCCCCAGAAAAAGGGATCCCAGCTAGGAGTTATGTTACATCCTTGCATGCATGTGCATTGCTTGGTCTTAAACTATAGACGCTGAGGTACCATGCGTATTGTCCTGCAAAAAAGGCTTTTGTTGACCATTTTTCAAAAACGTTCAAAACGTTTGAAATATAGTAGTAGAAACAATAGGTGTTTGTAAAACACTTATGCACAGAATTCAACCTAGATATTCCTATGATAAATCTTTATATCAAATTTCTTTTCAATATGTGCAACCTCTGCGAAGAAAATGAATGGAATATGCAATTTATTGGAATTTTTCTAAGTTCAAGCATATCAGGCATAACTCTGTCCAAAAATGGCCCGAAAAAATTTGACCTACATATTCTTTTTAGATATTCTTATAATAAATCCGTATACCAAATTTCATTTCAATATGTGCAACTTCTGATATGGAAGCATAGAAAAAAAGAAAATTAACGGAAGCTGATGGTGGACCGACAGACCGACCGAGCGACCTACAGACAGCAGGAAAGCAATATGCCGTCCCTCCTTCGAAGGGGGGGGGGGTAAGAATGTGTAAATTGGTCTACAGCACGTGTCTAAGTTAAAATATAAACATCTTGTAAACCAGCTTGTTTTGTCATTCAGTTATTGGATTGGCAAATGGTTCTTGGTTAGCGACTATGTAAGAAATAATAACAATAGCCATACTGGTATACGGTAGATTCCTCGGACATACACATCCCTCTATTGTACCAGCCTATTCTATTTGGCATCTTTATTCATAAACTAACAATCGGTCACAAACCAGGCTTTTTCTATCAAAGTCTAAAAATTCATAGATAATGCAAAATTCTAAACAGAAGGGCCAGGGGCCCAACCGCTCACCTGAGCTCTGACTATATGTAAAACTAAAAGCAAAACTTAGTTCAGTAATGAAAAATTGAGATATCAATGTTGGTTCACGAGGGATCATGATTGTAAATAGTAAACTTCAAACTTGAATCTACACCACCTTAGGATGCTTCCATATAACTATGACCAACAATGGTTTTGCTGTTCTTGAGAAGAAGAATTTTAAAGATTTTCCCCATGTATCCTTATGTTAAACTTTGACCCCTCATTATGGCCCCACCCTATCTCCGGGGGTCATGATTTGAACAAACTTGAATCTACTCTAACAGAGGATGTTTCCACATGAGATTCATCTTTTCTGGCCCGGTGGTTGTTGAGAAAAAGATTTTTAAAACATGCCATTACTTTTTTACTAATACATAATTATCTCCCATTGAAAGAGGGCACTTCACCCAAGGATACTTTGTGGCAAGTTTGGTTGAAATTGGCCCTGTGGTACTTGAGAAGAAGATGAAAATGTGAATACTTTACAACGACGACAGACAACTGACAAATTTTGATCAGAAAATCACTTGAGCCTTTGGTTCAGGTGAGCTGAAACAAAAACCCATGGCCACTTCTCTCACCGGAGCACTTTGAGATCTTTCAATATATTGGCATATAAATATGACTAATCATGGCTTTGCTTTTCTTGAAAAGTTTTTTGAAGATCTCTCCCTGTGTAAATTTTTTATCGTCCATTGTGGTTCCGGCCAACACCTGGGGGTCATAATTTGAACAAATTTTTATTTGAATCTACACTACTTGATGGTGTTTCCACTTAAGATTCAACTTTCCTGGCCTAGTACTTCTTGAGAAGATCTTAAAAGATTTTCCGATGTATTTAAGGAATGAAGCATATATCAACTTTTGTTATACGATATAACATAACTTGGGTCAGTTTACGCTTTATAAACCACGAAAGCTTTATTAAAAAAAGCGTAAACTGTCCGAAGTTATGTTATATCGTATAACATAAGTTGAAAAAAGCGTCATTCCTTTTAATTTAATTTCAATGTAGACAATGAAACAATTTTTCCATTTTTTCCTTCGGAAAAAAGGCTTCAAACATGCAAAACTTGGTTTTTCTATTGTGGCCCTCCCCCTCCAGCAGGGGTCATGATTTGTTAATTTAGAATCAAAATTACTCCAGCATGAATCCACATAAGTTTCAGCTTGATTCTTAAGAAATTTTGAAGTTTTTTCCCTATGCATTTCAAAGTAAAATTTGAATTAAATATTGTGGTCCCGCCTTACTCCTGGGGTCCTAATTTCAACAATTTAGAATCTACACTACCCCAGGATGCCTCCACATTGGTTTCAGTTTTTCTGGCCCAGTGGTTCTTAAGAAGAATATTTTCTAATGACTCTACTTATTTTTGTCTTTCCTTGATTATCTACCCTCTGAAGGGGACTTGACCATTCAATCTTAATAATTTGAGCTCCCTTTTACCTTTTGATTAAAAATAACCCAGTGGTTCTTGAGAAGAAGTCAAAAATGTGAAAAGTTTACAAATGGACGGACAGCTGGACGGACAACGGTTGATCAGAAAAGCTAATTTGAGCATTCAGCTCAGATGACCAAAAATTTAAATGTTGTAGAAGTTACTTTATTTACAAACTGAACCAGAGCAACTCAAGGAATTTCCTCCTCTATTTTTAGAATATTCCTCTTTCCTGAACATTGTATGAAAATGGCTTCTTCTAGTTGGATGTAAGTATAAAAAAATGAGGTTTGTATTAATTAATTATGAATAAATATCACTACACATATTTTTCAACATTCTAACCCACAAGGATGTACTAGTAATTTTCAAGGTGTTGAACAGTAATATGATAACAATTAGTAACGGCATGTTTTGTTAGGCCTTAATTGATACACATTAATCCATAATTATACCAGTTTTTACCAAATACATGTATATCATTTTTTAAAACTTTTGCTGTCTAAATGTTGTCTGATTCTAGTTTCGAAAGTAAATTCGAATGCACAGCGTGATACGTACACTGTATATAAATTTAGACTCATTTCACTGAAGAGAATTTAACTTTCAAAAATAACAAACCAAGCCTTTAATTCTTTTCTCCTATAATTATAGTATTATATCTATTTTTTTAAAACAGTGATTTGGGTATCCAGCATTTATCAGAGTCTGTGTTTTTGGGACTGTGTCACAAAGTTGGGACCTCTCAACAGGTGACCATGAGGAGAGAAATACTAGACATGGAAGTGATTTTGAAAAATCAAGTAATGCGTACAAGAGAAAATGACAGGGATAAAATTGAAACGATAATAAGTGGTAGTTATAGGGAAGGATTCAGGCTAGAGGGATCAGATATAGACATAATGATGTGGCCACCTGACCACAATATAATCTGGGACTTGGACCAGGCTCAGAATTATGATTTAAATCGAAAAACACTGATTCTCTGTGATTGTTCGGAAAGTCCACCTGGATTTGCTTTACTTGAATTATTGACAGGGACTCGCTGGGGAAATCTAATGGATGCATGTATCAGAATAAATGACAGACTCTATATATCAAGTTCTAAATTCAGAAGAATCCCATATTCTTCTAGTACTGAGTTTAAGGAACATGGTCCTTGTGGTAATGGATTTTTTGGTGTAGCAGAATATGATATAGCCCTATGTTTAGTCTGTAACTTTTGGCCTCCTCCAGCCTTCCAGTGGAGACAAAGCCATCACTCCTGGCCCCCGCCTCCTATCATTGATGAAATAGTAAGAAAAGGATGCCATTTTGTAGCAGTGGGACACAAGCTAGGAAATCACACTGACAAAGAATGGAGAATTTCCTTCTCGTTGGCAGAGCAATATTTAGTTTCCTCAATGAATCATTGCCAATTCCTAACGTACGGTCTGCTTAAATTGTTTTTAAAGGAATGCATGAACAGTGGACTAAGTGAAGAGGATAAATTACTGTGTTCTTATCACATGAAGACGGTTGTTTTTTGGGTGATTCAACTAAACATAATGCCTTGCTGGTGTCCACAAAACTTCCTGCAGTGTTTCTGGGTCTGTTTTAAACTTATCCTTAAATGGGTCTATGAAGGCATTTGTCCAAATTTTTTTATTCCAGAAAACAATATGTTTTTGAGTAATATTCATGGTAAAGCACAAAGAGAATTGTTCATTAGACTTCATGAAATATATGAAAAGGGTTTAGCATGCCTTCTTTACAGTCCATCCATAAGATCCCATGTTATAAGAGTCCTTCAAAACCCTATGCAATCTGTATGTATAGAAGAACACCCTTTAATTTCTAGGGTGGTGTTTGAAGTAATACTATTCCGTGAGATAAGTCACTGTGATATACCCATAGGAGACCTGCATCATTGTATGATGTCCCTCGATGCTGTAGGGAGGTTGATCACTTTATCCCTGACACAATACCAGAAACTAATTTTACAAACGAATACAGCTTCTATTCTCCAGAGTACAGCTTTTTATTTACTCAACAGTTTAACAGAATCTGTACCATTCGAAGTGGATACTAGCACATGTAGGAATAAAGTGATCTATTTAACTGACAAAAGGTCCCTTCATATGATGAAATTAGCTGCTAAGTTTGGGTTTATTTCCGACAGGTTGTTTATCGTCATGTATTTTTACAAGAGATTCAGATACTTGGAAGCTTTAATTGTTACAAAGAAAGTAAAAATCATGTTAGAACAGCCATATGTAGTGTATAGAGGACGTGTTAATGCATGGAGATACAGCGAGGATGTAGGGAATTTGCCCTTGTCTACAAAGATGAGAAAGGCCGTAGCATGGGACATTTCTCTGAACAATAAAATGTGTTACATTAATGAACTAGTGCCAGAACAACAGTCAGGGTTACAGTGGAATTACCCAGTATTATATGTCCCACTGTATGTTCTCTTACACATGTTAGAGATCTTGTGTTACAGACATGTAGACCCAGTGAGAACACAAAGAGCTCTAAATGATCTACAATATCTTGTACACCATGACCCGGGGTCATACATATACGAAGAACAAAAAGACATATCATGGGAGATCCTTGGGATTTGTCAACAGATTACTGGGAATTACCAAGCTGCTCTGTATTCCTACCGACAATCTCTGACACAAAAAACATTCCACAAAATACAAACCGCTACATTAATGAGGATACAACAAATAATGGACCTAATCAATAGAGTTTAACATTTTATAAATACATGTAGTACACTGAGTACATGTAAATAAATTTTAGAATAAGATTTTTGGTAAAAATTCAAACTTTTTTTGACAACGTGGTAAGAGGCAGAGTTACAACGCACTTTGAAAGAAAAATTCAAAGTGCGTTAAATTTTAGACCAAGATAACGCACTTTCAAAAAAAAAAATAATATCGACCATATTAACGCACTTTGAAAAAAAAGCTTGATCAATGTTCTTACAAATAATTGGTATAATATATAATTGACCATGGTTGGATGACTTGTTTTTTTATGATTAGGTCACTTCGGGACATGAAGTATTGAATATTTAAATATTTTAGGTTTTGATAAATGTTATAAAGGGAAATGGGTCTTTAAGAAAAAATAGAGAGATGATTGTTTTATATCATTATTCATGTCTAGTCTGTAATAAGTAGATGTAAAGGGGTGTGCTAAAAGTGAACGACTTAAAGCATTGAATTTATTTTAAGATAAAGGGGACAAATTGATTTTTCAAAACTATTAAAGTTCTTTCTCTCTCATGAATACGTTTTACTATGCTTAAAATTTTCTAGTTTTCATCTGTTTTATGTTAACTCATTTATTGAAAGTTTTCAACATCATACCAGTTACGTATGCACATATACATGTTTTTGTTTTCGGTATAGCATAGGCATTGGAACCAGGCGGAGGGCAAGGGGAGGGGGGGGGGGGCTGAGCCTTCCACTTATTTTGGAAAGATATGCATCATATAAGGATTAAAAATGCGGCCTACCCTTTTTGGGGTTTATTACCCCGTTTTATTTGTTACCGACGCCTGTGTATTGGAATGATAAAGATTTGGACTGAGAGATCTTCTATCCGCCTTCTCTACTTCTGGACGGCAGTAAATCAATGCATAAGTTTTTTGAAAGATAAATAACTAATAAAATCTTTCCATTACTAAAATCTGTTTTTTACAAATTTTTTTTCAAAGTGCGTTAAGGGTCTCCATGGTAAAATACATTGATGTAAACTTTTAACGCATTTTGATTTTTTTTTTCAAAGTGTGTTAATTTTGTCCCAATTCTAACGCACTTTGAAAAACTTTTTCAAGGTGCGTAATATTTTTAAAGTGCGTTGCCACAAGGCAGCTATCACAATTTCCCTTGTGAATTGAAAGTTGTTTTTTTTTTTTACATTATTATTTCATCTTAAAAATTTAAATAAATAAATAAAAAGAAAAAATAAAGGGGAAATTCAAATTTTCAATGTTTTTAGACCTTTTAATGCTTTATAATGCATTGTGTTTATATAAAATGAAGTTTTGTAATAGGTTTGTTAGTAAAGTTCATATAACATGAGTGACGTCAACGAGTACCCGGTTAACCGGGTACTCGATTGAGTGTCCGAGTATCGAAAATACTAAAATTGGTAATCGGTTACTCGGATGTATATTTTTCATCTTTCAAAGAAGACATTTTTATTTGAAACTTCATGCACTCATGCAAATGCAATATGCACTGTCCACGTATTTACAGTAATTAGTGTCATCTCAGGTGCGGATCCAGAAATTTTTAACAAGGGGGGGGGGGGTCCACCCAAGTAAAAAAAAAATCCAATACAGAAAATTCTTTTCAAGCAAAAAAATAAAAATAAGAAGAGAACCTGAAATCGCCCAAACGTCAAAAACCTATTTCGAGGAGTGGGGTAGTCCATGACTTCTATTGCCTCAAATCTTTCACTTTTCATACCCATTGCACACAAATTTGCGTTTACCAGGGGTCTGCGTTTTCCAAGGAGGGTCTAAGGTAACTTTTATTTTGCTTTAGTATATACATTTCTAAACCTTGTAAATTTCAGGGGGGGGGGGGTGGTGCTGACCCCCCCCCCCACCTCCCCTCTAGATCCACACATGCATCTTCACCAGTAAACACTCCCGTTATTGGCAATTTCTGTGATTATACAGTAATTATAGGATAATCAATTAACCATCTGGGGGTCGTAACATAAAGGCTGCTTAAGTGTAAGACCGTGCTTAAGTAGGACTTCAGTACAGTCTAAAACTTAACACCGTAACTAGAAGCGTGCTAAGATTTGGCTATCTTAGCAAAGCTTAGGCGGCCGGTAGAGGTGACTTAAGTATATCTTAACATTCTATTTGGAATTATTTAATGTTGATGTTAAAACATTTCTCATTTTATATTCTGCATTATAAAAAACAATCATAATTATATATTTTAATATTTTATGCTGATTTAAGAATTTTAGTTTCTCGTGGGGGGGGGGGGGGGGTTAGTGGGACCTCAGTTATGGAAAGAAAAATTGAACACAGTAATACTAGTAAATCATGGATCATTATAATCACTTTGAAAATATGAGATAAAATAAATTTTTTAAAAGAAAAAAGAAAGAGGATGACGACCAAACCATTAATAAAAAGTGTATTTAAAGTGAATAAATGTAGAACGCGACAAGAGCGGATTTAGACAGGGCTCACTACAGTTCCAGAGAGAGATAAACAGTTGCTGATAATTGGATTTTTTTGCAACCTTGATTAAATTGCAAATGAGCTCGAGTATTTCATAAAACTTATACAGTCTTTGCTACTGACATGCAAGGCCTGATACATAAAGTGGGGGGTGGGAGTTCAAAATATTTTGAACTTTTTAGAGTTTCAATTTCAAGTAGATGGACGGTCTGTTATTTTGTTATGTTTGCGAGAATAACAGAGCAAGTGAACACTTGTCAAAACAAAAGAGTAACAAGAAATAAACTGAAAACATATCAAATGATCGATAAAACAATTGTCGTACCTTTACGATGAACCACAAATAGCCACGTTGTGACCGTGCAGTATATTTGTTTTCAAATATACCGAATGATTTATAACGGAATCATCATTTTAATACGAAATATAATCTAACATTACTAAATCCGATAGGTAAAGACGTCTACTTTAATATACACATGTGCATGTATATTTAATTTAAACACTAACTGAATCACTTTTTACAAAAGCCTATTAGGACCAATCTAGAGAGAAAAACTGCACTTTTTGAAGAGGCGTAATAACGCGAAAAAAGGCGTTATAACGCCTTTTCAAAAGGCATTATTACGCCTTTCCATTCCAAAAAAGCGTTATTACGCCTTTTTAAAAGGCGTTATAACGCCTTTCTTAAAGGCGTTATTACGCCTTTCCATTCTAAAAGGTGTTATTACGCCTTTTTAAAAGGCGTTATTACGCCTTTCTAAAAGGCGTTATAACGCCTTTCCAAAAGGCGTTATTACTCCTTTATAAAAGGTGTTATCACGCCTTTATAAAATACATTATTACGCCTTTCCAAAAGGCGTTAAAACGTCTTTATTCTAAATACATGACTCAACATATTTAACCCAGCCGAGGGGCGGGATGTTATTGGGGGGGGGGCAGAAATCATACCTTTGTGACATGAATTTCACAATTTGATATAGGACTTATTTCTCAAAAAATAATTTCAACAGATAACAATTAGATTTCCAGGAAAAAAATTTAAATACGTCATATATTTTCGATGTTGAACCAACTTAGTCCTTCTTTAATACCAGTGACACCTCTACCAAGGATCATTGATTTCAATTGCTCATTATACATGTACCTATGCAAATAGTTTGCCTGCGTTTTTCCAAGAAGAGAGAAAAATATCTTCAAATGAAATGAATTTTATTCATGGCAAGCAAAGCTTCAAGATACATCTGCCTATATCTTATCTTCACAAGTAGAGTGTTGCCTTCTCTTAATACGAATGCAAACAGTTGTCAGTGACATGTGCAGGAATATAGAGAATTGCCTAAATAAAGATGGTTTTAATTACATCTTTCATATATTTATTAACAAATAATAACGCCTTTCCATTTTCCTTTTCAAGTAGGCCTGTAGTACGAGTGCAAATGGGGTAACCCCCCCCCCTCTCTCTCTTCACATACACACATTTAGATATTATAATTATAACTATTGGGTGCTTGGTTTCTGAACATTTTGTTGCAGTGTGTAAAACTATGGTTAATTATTGCATTTAAACAAAGTTTTACCGAGAAGTCCCCCCACGAGTTTGGCCAGTAGAGTGGGGGTAGTGTTGGTGGTTGGGGGGTGGGGGGTGGGGGGTTAAAAAGCACGGGCCTGTTAAATGTAAAATAATGGTTCTTCAAAAGGCAGAAGAACCCTTTTGGAAAGGCAAAATAATGCCTTTTTAAAGGGCAAAATAACGTCTTTTATGATGGCAAAACAACGCCTTTTAGAGAGGCGTAAAAACGCCTTTTGAAAAGGCGTAATAAAGCCTTAAGAAAAGCATAATAACGCCTTTTATAAAGGCGCAATAACGCCTTTTAGAAAGGCGTAATAACGCCTTTTGGAATGGAAAGGCGTAATAAAGCCTTAAGAAAAGCATAATAACGCCTTTTATAAAGGCGCAATAACGCCTTTTAGAAAGGCGTAATAACGCCTTTTGGAATGGAAAGGCGTAATAACGCTTTTTCAAAAGGCGTATTAACGCCTTTTTTAGCGTTATTACCCCTTTTCGAAAGGCGTTATAACACCTTTTTTTTCTCTCTAGATTGGTCCTAATAGGCTTTCGTTATTTTTAGCAATATATCTATTTAAAATGAAAAAAAAAAACAACAAATGATGGCTAGTATTAAATATTTTAACATACCCCCGGTAAGTTTGAATTAGCTAAGACCTAGCTCGTAAGTTCGTTTTATGTTACGGTTTAAGACATACTTTAGTATTACTTAGACAGGTCCTAAGACTTTGCCTAAACGTACTTACGACCCTACTTTAGGCAAAAACTTATCAAGCTTTATGTTTCGAGCCCCTGGTGTGTGGAACGTATTACAGCTGTAGAAGTTCGGGCTTTACGGATCGTCAGTGGTAAGAGCACCTGACTAGTAATGCAAGGGTCCCTGGTTCGATTCCCGATCTAGCCATATGTTTTCTTCGTGCATTTCTCCTTTTCATACTAAATTTGGTGGCCAGTGTGTGTGTGTG